CAGGGTATACGACAAGCCGGCAGTCCGCGGCGCTGCAGAATTCATGATCAGGGTTCTGCACAGGGCGGGCTTCAGGCTTGAGTTTCCGGTAGAAGAAGTCATTGAAATTCTTGTATGCTGGGCTTTCGGGCGGATATAGCAGCTCGTTTGTGTCGATGTTGTAGGTATGTATGAATGACGGGATGTGACTTCTAGACTCGGGGGAGTCGTAGATCTGACCCTCGCGCTTGCTCTGCTCCATCAGGAGTGCTTCGATGCGCTTACTTCCTTCCAAGAGTTTGACCTGCTCCCTCCCATAAAATAAGATATGCATGCCCAAACGTGCATAGATCGGCATGCTTTCAAAAATTCGTTCATTGGTGCCTCTAATTGCGACGTAGTTGCCGACGTGATACTTGGCCGCGAGGGATTGCAGCTGAGGCACGAATTTGTTCAACCACAAGTGGTGGCTAGAGCCGCCAGGCGCAAAGTGATGTAAATGGCCATGGATGCCTTGAGTGACATCGTTGCGATTATCAGGATGTTGCGGATCGGAGCGCTCTACGGTCTCTTTGAGAGCCTCGGCAATCATGCCATCCAACATCTCCATTCCTTGCATCCCTGCTTGTCCGGAACCCTCAACACCACCTGGCTTATTGAGCTCAGATTCGTTCAGCTGTGTCATTGTTGCGATAGAAGACAGAGGTGGTTGGTTGAACAATGTAGAAGTCAGGTATCAAGATAATAGATCTATCAAGCTAGTTGGTCTGCCATTTTAAGGAAGGAGAAATATTAATAGGACGTCAAGCTAAGTACTATACCTGGTACTCCTAACTTTATCGATTTCTATCCTAGCTAGCCTCATCCGCCTTAGTCGATTGGCAATCTAGCAGGGATGCCAAGTGTTACATAACGTTCAACCCCACCAGCCAACTACCTACACCGGTGGCCAGGGTCCCACAACCCTACAGGTACAAACCAAAAAAAATTGCGAGACTTGCGTGAGACGAACCTTTCCTAGACCTTGGCAGTGAACCTGACAAATTTAAGGGCGGTCAGGCTGACTCGCACTGAAGGACATTGAAGGACTTAGGAGCGGCAGTCGAATATCCGGGCCTATCTCCTGGCCAGCACCTGTTTAAATGTCTCGGAAAAGGGCATTGCAACCGCGAGCGGAACTATACAACGCCAATACCAGATCCGAGCCATCCTCCTTGAGGCTTGGCATGAAGTATGACTTTCCAGGAGGTGGTCAATGATTAATGAGCGGCCGCATCTGTCAACTTGAACCTTGAAGGAGTTTTAGCCGACTTGGACATTATGCCCTTCTAACGGCGCGATCGTTGTAAACGAGCTGTCGACTGGTCCTTAGCACTTAGTGTAAGTGCTTGTCGATTCGAAAGACTAGCATGGTTTTTAGAAATGATGGAGCTATTGACAATAATACAAACGATGGATAGGTGCATGACTCAAAATATTGATGTTTTACATTGTCGGGTGCAAAGCTTACTTGAACTCAGCACTGACGAGCGTGTGCAGGAAGATGGCCCCTTTCGCGTCTGGTTCCGACTGCACATCAGAATACGTTGGTGGGAGGACGTGTGGGCTACCGTTGCCATATTATCATGATGTGGTCCAGCACATCTGGTTAATTCCTTGGTTCACCTGTCTCGTGCGTACCGTATCATTTGTTGACTTTACTACTACACTGCTCATATAGAATAATTGAATCAATCTGGCTCGGCTTGGCCTGGTCCATGGCTTGAAGTCGGGCTGTGCACACTACTAGTCCTATTTCTCCTTGACTTTGGTTCAAGGAAACAGACATCTCAAGGTCTGCACGTATGAGCATTGACAGCACGAGTTATGCGACCCACGTGCTTAAGCGAAAAACCGATGATTTGAAAGATGATGCATCGACGATGACTGTTATAGTTCGACCGATTACAGCGACTCTCCACCATTTCCCTTGGCACAGTCGCTGAGACTCCCACTTCTGACGGCCGCCGAAACTTACCGATAACCTTTGTCATAATATAGCGATCTTATGATTTGGCATCGGTCTCAACTTAAGCTTGACAGACGAATACCTTTTTGAATAAGACAAAAGAGGGTCAAACGGCTTGTCGTGGTGTCTGAACCAGATCGTAATGTCGGTACTTGGTCGGCACATATCGGATCTAGTGAATGCACAGCATGAGGTGCCTAGTTAATTAAATACTTACAGTTCCAAAGTGGAATTAATTCATGACATTCTTTTGTTCTTTGCCAATTGCAACAGAGTTGACTCGTAGAGACGAATGTTGGACGAATCAGTGTAAGCCGCGTCCACTATCTATCTCCCAGATACTCTTTCACTTTGGCACTCAGACGAGATAGGATATTGTTTTCGGTGAGACCATGAAACAGCTTGAAGAATCTCAAGGCAACACGGACTCGATGCATAATCATATATACACTGTCTGGTAGAAACCTGTGCGTGAGTGTCCAAGGCTGTTGTTCATTGTCTCGGATCAAACATCGGTAATACTAACATTGACAGGCTCGTCGTTCCATAGAAGTCCGAGTTTCACAAGTAACTTTGTCTTCCACGAGTCTGAGTTACACTTTTACACACGATAACATGTCATCCACTGATCTTCGCTGCCCGATCAAATCAGTCACACCGGGCCTTCATAATGCCATGCCTCAATGGTACATAATCTGTAGGAGAAAATCATATAATCTTTCTCCTGGTAACGAGGTCCTTCTGTTCTTCTTGGTCGCACCTTCTTCTGCTAGCGTTGCTGGTAGTGATGAGGCAGTTCAACATGTTCATTAAGAATGTGACGCAGAGCTTTCCGACCATCACTGGCGTACGATGGTTCAACCTTTCTGTCCTTGTCATTACGCCAGCTCTTTCGCTATACGGCTTGCTTTATGTTCCCGTCCTTCGGAAGACTATCGTTTGCACTACCCTCTATTACATCTATTCCATGCTTGGTAGGTGTTCTGAAATAGTCGCTTCTTCCGACTGCTGAATTTGCTCCCCCAGGCATAACTGCTGGTGAGTGGTGGCGATAACCTTCATGACATATCATCAGAACGTGCCGCTCCAGGATACCACCGGCTTTGGTCACACAGGTCATATAACGCTTCGTTCCCCTTACAGGTGTTCCTCATCCTTGCAGGGGCGAGTGCAGTGCAAGGCTCATGTTATTGGTGGGCACGCCGGCACCGTTCGCATCACAGGCATACCGACACGGATCTTGACCCGTACAACTCAGGACGAGGCCTCCTCTGGACGCACATCGGATGGATTATTTTTGAGTCAGACTTGAAACCCGGACCAGCTGATATCTCTGACCTGAGCAAGGACCCCGTCGTACAATGGCAACACCGATGGTACTTTGTCATTTTGACCGTTTTCGGGTACTTGCTTCCAATGGTCATTCCCGGCTTGTTGTGGGGAGATTGGAAAGGCGGATTCTTTTTCGTTGGTGCATTTCGTATGACCGCGTGTCATCACGTGAGTTCCATGTTTTTCATCATCGAAGACAAAACTTGACTTGAGCCCAGTGCACTTTTTGCATCAACTCCATTGCTCACTATCTCGGAACTACGCCGTACGATGACAAACATACTCCCCGCGACCATCTTTTGTCCGCTATTCTTACTATGGGAGAAGGGTACCACAACTTCCACCATCAATTTCCCATGGACTACAGGTAGTAGCTGACATTCATTGGGCTGTTCTTAACGTCATTACACAACTCATGGCCTTTTCACCAGGAATGCATTTCGATGGTATCAGTATGACCCTACCAAGTGGTTCATCAGTGTCTGTCACTATATCGGTCTTGCCTCTCATCTCCGCGTTTTCCCTAGCAACGAAATTGAAAAGGGCGCACTCACGATGAAAATTAAAGCTCTCAAGGACGTCCAGGACTCAATTGAATGGCCTGTGCCTCCGCAAGAACTTCCTGTGGTTTCGTGGAAAACCTGTGAGTGACCCTATGTTGGCACACGTTCGATTGTGACTCATTGATCTGCATCGTGCCTTGCAAATAGTCCAGGAAGAGTCCCAGTCTCGGACCCTTCTCCTCATATCAGGTTTTATCCACGACGTGTCAATGTTCCTTGATAATCACCGGGAGGACCCGTTTTACTCACACGAAACTCTGGGAAAGACATGACGGCATCTTTCTTTGGCGGTGTCTATGCTCACTCTCACGCAGCGCATAAACGTGCGTACCACATGGCACTGTTTGCTTATCCAACGATGCTAATGACCGACTCTGATTCTCCGTTGCCCGCTGTCAACTTGCTCTCGCATGTTACGTCATGTAGCTCCTTGGGATGATGCGTGTGGGCATTCTCGCAGGTGGTGTGGAGGTGCCAGCAGAGCATGCCGTCCCACCCAGTCAGCGACTGGTCATCCGCGCTAACACCTCCCATTAATAATACAGCTGCTTGACACAAATGTCTCGAGTGTTATTGGTTTCAGGAATATGTGGGTTGGCAACCATGCCTCCTGTGGGTGGGATTGGAGGCCGTGGCGGGGCACGCCAGCTTGATATAAAAATGAGTAACTTCCCAAGTGTTCAAGTTCTTGTGGGCATTGTGTGGGCATTTACTCTTCAAATTTTGTTCTTGAATATTCTTGAAACCTCTTGCATACAGTGATTTGCGGAACAGTAACTAGATCATATATATTTACCGACTCACTAGTCTATGAGCTCCAACCCGATATACTGAAAATATGACGGTCAACATCTTACACTATGTATTACAGGCGAAATCAAGGCAAGTTAGGAATTCGAAGGACAACGAAAAAGCAAAAAATGCATTTGCCCACTGGCTGGATTGAACAACCGACCTCATCATCTCTCAGATCTTATGATCCGTTACAAGTGACGCGCTCTACCACTGAGCTAAGCGGGCTTGTATATTGACCACATGTAGTTGTACATAACACGTCATCTGTTAGTGACCGTCGTGCATGACCATGGCAGCAACCCCGCATTGGGGTTAGGGTTTTGGATAGTTTAAATAGCGGGCAGCTGTCACTGTCGGCGGGACACCTGTTCCACGAGTTTTCTTCTCAGACTGCTTGATCGAAGCAATGGGCAATCTTTGTCTTGGGTCACCGACGCAGCGCCTCCAAAGGCTACTTTTTCATCGACCAATTCCAGACCTAACAGGAAAAGTAATTATTGTGACTGGTGCCAACACGGGTATTGGGAAGGAGACCGCGAGAGTGAATTCCTTTTTATGAACGAAGCTGAGGGTCTGTGTTGACGTGGACTCCAAGGTTCTACTTGCACATGGCGCGAAAGTTTACATCGCGGCTCGCAACCAAGCTGCTTCAGAGGAAGCTATTCGTCAACTGAAGCAGGAGACTGGAAACGAAGCGATATTCTTGAAACTTGACCTTAGTGATCTGAAGGCATCAAGGCGTCTGCTGAAGAGTTCCTGAGGTGAGAAGTGCACTATTCAAGGGTTTACCAACTTCAAATCGAGCTATTCGACAGCAAAGAGACTCAGCTCCATATCCTTCTAAATAATGCGTGAGATAACTTTCTTTGCCTCGACGAGATCCGTCGT